GGGGGGGGTTGTGTGGATATTGGCTGAAGCAGGGCATAAAAAGCCTTGAAGTTCTCTTTGAAATGATTGTGGACAAATTCCTTTAATAACCTCAGATTTTCTGTCAACTTCATTATGCTGTATCATATAAAAAGACTTAACATACTTCAGATGTCGTTCTTAATATACTTTTATGAATTAGCTTTAAATGTGGCATTTCAGTTTTCATAATCCTGATGATCTCTTTTATATTGACAATATGTGGTCTTCCTACCACTGCAGAGGGGGTGGTAATATCTATATACCATTGTCTACATCAAAAAGTATCTGTATGCCATTGTGATATTTTCGGGCCGCGTGTTGTCCAAGATCATCTCTGCTATAGCGGATTCCTTGTCTGATAATAATGTACAGATTGCTGAAGTTAACTGATTAAATTAGCTTATGTTTTTTGGAGCATAGTATCTCTCTTCAATTGAATCAGGTTTACGATGCCTTTGCTGATATATCTACTTTGGTGGTATAGTTAATCATTAGTCTAAGATCCGCGGAACCTTTTCTACCTTACTCCTTCAAGTAGCTTGTTCTGGATGGGATTTCACTTCATTTTCCCCCTTGATCAATTATTGTTGTGCATTGTTGGCAGGAAAGGGAACATGCCCTGAGATCCTTCAAAAGTGGTAACACGCCAATCTTGGTTGCAACAGATGTGGCAGCACGTGGTCTTGATATACCCCATGTTGCACATGTTGTCAACTTTGACATTCCAAATGACATTGATGATTATGTCCACCGTATTGGAAGGACAGGGCGAGCAGGAAAAACAGGTTTAGCAACAGCCTTCTTTAACGAGAACAATTCGTCAGTGGCAAGAGCACTGGCTGATCTGATGCAAGAAGCAAACCAAGAAGTACCTGCTTGGCTCTCTCGCTATGCTGCTCGATCTTCACATGGAGGCGGCAAAAATCGTCGTGGTGGAAATCGTTTTGGCGGGCGTGATTTCCGAAAGGATTCCTCTTTCAATCGAGGGGTCACAGACTACTATGGTGGTGGGGCCAATACGAGCAGTGGCTATGGTGCATCTGGTGGTTATGCTGCATCATATGGTGGTGCTGGTGTGACTAGCGCCTGGGACTAACCGCCCACATTATGCCCCACAGTTTGCAAATTCAGATATAGTTTCAATTTTGCAGTAGCTGGTCTCTACTCACTGTAGTGTTCACTCTTTATTTTGCTCATTTTTGTAAGTTTTGACGTTTTGTACTGAAGTCTTCGCTGCAATGGTGGTCTGGGTTGTTGGGACGTAGTTAGGGCTCGATGGGGATGTGTAAATCTTGGCAGGTGGTGATGAATAATTACTAACAGATTAGGATTTACTTTGCCTTGCTTAACTTGTCCCTTTGCTTTTTCCCTCTGCTTTAACATTTGGTAGGGTGATGGGGTATGTGTTAAAGAATAGGTTTCATGTATGGGGGGAGTTTATGTTTCTGCCAGCAATAGATTTATAAGTCTCTTAGGTATATTCTTTTATCAACCAAATGTATTGGTTGTAGAGAAGTGTTGTGTTCAACTCTAATCACTGTTGTAATATTACAAAGTTAGTGCCAAGTTTTGTATTGTATTACTTTTCTCTCTAGAGTAAGTTCTTGAATTATTTTTGTTATGTACTCATGTTATTTTCGTTCATAAGGCAGTGGTAAAGTTAATTTTTTGCCTATCGGTGAAAGGTTAAGTAGGCGTTTGGACATAAAAATTATAATTTTTGAAATAATGTAGCATTTGAAGTAAAGTTGAAAAGTGATATATGGAATTTGAAATTATGTTTTGACATGCATTTCATTTGAAAAATATTCAGTTTTGTGAACGGGCAAAAAAAACTAAAAATTTTGAAAACTCACCTTCGAAATAAATTAAAAAACTTGTAAAATTTCATGGACAAACACATTTTGGAAGAAAAAAATAAAAAAAGTAAATTGTTTTTGTGGACAGACCGGTCCTAAATCTCTGCATGCGAACTGGTCCTAAATATTGCAGAAAAAATTCACAAAATTGATTTTATCAATTACCACTTATTAAATAGTTTAATAAAAATCCATTTTCTAATGAATATTTAGCCCTTAATTAACTGCAGAAAATAAGCTTATTATATTTTTGTAGCTTTCATTAACATTTTCATGGAAAGACTGTGTATTGACTTCCTATGTATCACTCATTTGAAATGGTCCCTTTCTTTTCCTTCATCACTAAAAATGCTATAAATGTAATGTAGAAATAGGAAGGAACAAGTAGCCCCCAGTCCAAACATTTGCATTGACTTGAGTCCTATATCGTCTCTTCAACAATTATTAATGACTAAGAAAAAGTTGTCCCTTGTAGCTTTCCTTTGAAATTTCCGTGAAAGACTTGTGCACTGACTTGAACTAAACATTGGGTTATATATTTCTGATTTTTAGTAATTAGATGAAGTTAAAAAATTCAAGAATTTCAGTTTTTAACATTAAACCAATTACGTATTTATCTATTTGAAAAAAAAAAGGGGGCCTAAATATGATCAACTAATTTTTTTTTTAATTCCCTTATGGGAGGCTTGTAAGGAGGAAGATATTTTGGATTTTTGAGTTTCCGACTTATAAAAGAAGATATTTTGGAATTGAAATTTGATGTATTAAAGAAAGACTTCAAAGTAAACGATAGAAGACAATATATATACGTTTTGACATTATTTTTTGGAATTTTCTTGGAAATGAACCTTTTGTAAAGATCTTCGGTTAACTGTGACCCAAGTGGCCAGACTTGACCTATTCGTCCAGCTAAGGACGAGAGAAACCGGACCCATAACAAGTTGCCTACGTATCTTGACCCAAGGTCAAGTATCAACTAAGTTCTATTCACGCTGTATAGCTTCAAGTCTAACATCAAATTCACAAGTTTTAAAAATAAAACTGAATATTCTACTATAAAAATAAATAAAAAAACATAAACTTTATTTGTGGTCCAGCTTGTGCCCAATTCCCACGTCCAAGTCTTTTAATCAACAGCCATAACAAAGAAAACTATATATTTGTGCATAGGCTCTATTAAATTGTGCAACCAACTTTTATGCAAACATGGGCAACAAACAACTCTCAGTTGTGCTCTTTGTCTTTGTCTGTCATGAACTTGCTTTTTCTTCATCCACATTACCTCAATTCAATTGTGCAACAAAGATGAAAGTATTTCCCTTGTAAAATTGAAGCAGACGCTTACTGTAGACACCTCTGCTCTGCTTTTTTGTGTGTGTCAGAATAAAATGAGTAGAGATTGCTGCTTATGGGATGGCGTGATATGCGATGAGTTTAGTGGCCATGTGATTGAGCTTGATCTCAGTTGCAGCAGTATAGTAAGGAAGATTGATTCTAACAGCAGCCTATTCCAACTCTCTCAACTCCAAAAGCTTGACCTTTCTTGGAATAACTTCTCTTCTTCGGAAATCTCACCTCTATTTGGCAAGTTTTCGCACTTGACGCATCTCCAACTTTCTTACTCAAATTTCAGAGGTCAAATTCCTTGTGAAATCTCTCATCTTTCCAAGTTACAGCTCAGTCTTGGACCTCACAATTTCAAATTGCTTCTTCAAAATTTGACCAAATTAAGAGAGCTTGATCTTACATATGTAAACATCTCTTCCACCATTCCTCCAAATATCTCTTCTCATATAACAACACTGACGCTATACAACACTGATCTTTCATCTAACAATTTTAGTGGCAATGTACATGTCAGCTTCTTTTCAAACCTCAAACACCTTCACTCGTTGCATCTTTCATATAACAAGATTCAAGGAGCAATTCCTGATTGGGCATGGTCTAATTGGATGCACTCACTGCATACTCTTAATCTATCCCACAACATGTTGACAAGTATTCACCATTTTCCATCAACTAGATACTCTAGATTTGCCATCCAATTTTCTTCAAGGATCGCTACCTATTCTACCGTCCTCTCTAACTTATTTTTTCATATCAAGTAATAGTCTCAGTGGGAAGATCCCTTCTTCTGTTTGACATCATTAAGAGTTTTAGACTTGGCAAGAAACAATTTGATGGGAGCAATTCCACAATGTTTGGGTAACATGAGTTTCAGTCTTGAGGTTTTAGATATGCAACACAATTTTCTTTCTGGGAACAACTTTTAGAGTTGGAAGTAGACTGACAAGCTTCAACTTGCATGGCAATAAGGTAGAGGGAAAAATCCCAAAATCTTTAGCCAATTGCAAAGAGTTGGAAGTTCTCGATTTGGGAAACAATCACCTCAATGACACATTCCCTATGTGGCTGGGAACACTTCCGCAGTTACAAGTTTTAAGCTTGAGATCCAATAAATTGCATGGACCCATCAGAGCTTCAAGGACTAAAAATTACTTGTTTCCTCATCTTCAGATATTGGATCTCTCTTGCAATGCATTTACAGCATTAGGAGATGGATATTATTACGAAGCCTCCGTAGTTGTTGTGACAAAGGGACTGGAGCGTGAAGTTGTGAGAATCTTGTCTTTGTACACCACTATCGATCTTTCAAGTAACAAATTTGAAGGACATATTCCTAGTCTTTTGGGAGATCTCATTGCACTGCGTGTGTTGAATTTGTCTCATAATAGATTGCAAGGTGATATACCATCATCACTCGGAAATTTATCTCTGTTGGAAATTAAATATAACCAGATTTCGGGAGAGATACCAAAACAACTTGCTTCGTATCTTGAATTCTTAAATCTCTCCCACAATCATCTCCAAGGATGCATTCCTCAAGGACCTCAATCCCATACCTTTATGAGTAGCTCATACGAAGATAATGATGGATTGCGTGGATTCCCAGTTTCGGAAGGTTGTGGAAATAGCAGGATTCCCGAGACAAGCAGCACAACACGCGTTTTGGATGAAGAAAGCACTTCTGAATTTCTCAATAATTTTTGGAAAGCTGCTCTTATGGGATATGGAAGTGGACTAATTATTGGATTATCCATTGCATATATCATGCTTTCAGCTCGAAATCCGAATTGGCTTTCTTGGATTGTTGAAGAACTAGAACACAAAATCACAATGAGAAGGCGAAAGAAGCAGCGAGGCCAAACGCATTACAGAAGAAGAAAGAAGAAGAAATAATGGTGCCTAGACAAGTTCCAGTCGTCCAATCTGTAATTTCAGGTATATATTCATATTAATCTCTATATCTGATATTTTTTTCTAAGTTTATATTAACTGGTATTCCAGAGGGTCACGGGTTCGAGCCGTGAAAACAGCCTCTTGCAGAAATGTAGGGTAAGACCGCGTACAATAGACCCTTGTGGTCCGGCCCTTCCCCATACCCTCTGGAGACGTGCACCAGGCTGGTATTGTATGTCTTCATTTGAATATACCTTGCTTTGTTAGACTAAGTGTATCTTTATTAATGCATGAGATTGAGATTATTTATTTTGTATCTGACATTCACTTTAACTTGTATGAATTAAATATAGGCAAAGAATGTGTCCAGTTGAAATACCAGGAGAATGGGAAAAGACTGTACTATAGATGTTTCCAGCATCAAATGCCACAAGGAACATGAAGATTAATAGATGCTTCTGAAATTCTTTTTTGTGCTGTAAATGTTGCTGTAATTGTTTTTTTTTTTTTTGGAAAATAGAGAAAACAGAATAAATTCTAGTATTTATTATCGTAGGATTTAAGTATATCGTTTATAACGTGCATTTTTTCGTATTAAGTTCTTTTATAAAAGGTGTAATATTTCTAGCAATGAATTGTTTTTTATTTTCTTTCAACATTAAAGAAAAAAAGTATTTTTATTTTAACAACACTGCAAAATAATTATATTGCATAAAGGAAAAACAGAATAGGATTGAATTCCATGTTGGGTTTTTGTCTGAGAAGTTGCCTGCTAAGGATTTTGAGACTATTCCCACTTGTAAGAATAATAAGGGGTGCCAAGATTCTCTCCTTTCTTCAATATGATGAGGTCAAAGTTCTTATCTTTATACTCCATATGTTTCCATTTATGCGTCTTACTTTATATTATTTGTTTAATAAAGAATGTCACTTTCTATGTGTGGTAATAATTCTTTAATTCTAACATTGTTGGGTTTAAAAGATTGGTGAATGGGAAATGGAGGGAGGAAAGCGGAGGGAAAGTGAGCTCTCTTTTGCTTTGTAAAGTGCAAGGTCCCTCAATGGTGGTGTAAAGAAAAGGAGATGTGTTTACATTTCCTTTGGTGTTAAATGGGTTGAAAAGAAAGTAAGCCTCGCGCCGTCGCGCGTTGTCGCTCGCTCGGCTCGGCTCAGCTTATGTAATTCTTGTTAGTTCAGTAGATGGTCCTTACAAAATAGGTAAATGTTTTCTGTTCTGAGTATTTGCTTCTTGTGGAATTAGGTTGGTAAAGATAAACAGGTGTTATGTTGGTCCTGTAGATGTGGATATCCTATTACAAGGAGCTCCTAAAGTGCTATGTATCTATTGATGATTGCTTCTGCGCCCCATCGTTGTTGGATCTTGAGTGGTATAGGAGGCGGCGAAAGAAGTAATATAATGCTAATGAAGTGCAGTTATAAGCATAGGGCCCTGTTGAGTTTAATATAGTTGAAGTTTGAAGAAATAAGTTCTGAA